ATATTAAAAAGAATGATGACAGCTTTAAAAGAAACTAAAATTTAGTTTATATAATATTATACTTTTTGTATTACTTTTTTGTAACTAGTATAACAGTAACTAGTATAATTGGTGACTAATGTAACTTATAGTATAATATATGGCTTGTATAATTTCTACTAAAAATAGTATAAAATATACACAAGATTGTGTAATTTTAAAATAAATATAATATTTATTATATGTAAGTTAATTAAAGATTTAAAAGAAAATAATTATAAAAAATTATTAATTGATTAAACCAATAATTTATAATATTTTAAAATGTGTTTAAAATCCAAATTTGAAGAGAGTAAAAAAAAAGAATCAAATTTTTTAAAAAATATTAAAATTTTTAGAGAATGTAATCATTTAGAGTTTTTATTTATAAAATGATCAATTTTTGACTGTTTTTAATGAAATTTATATAAAAATGAAACTTGAGATGAGCTGAACAACTCTGTCTTAAGAGACAAGACAAGTTTCCTAGGTCATATTTAAGTATAAGTGATTTGAAAATATTTTAGTAAAAGATTAAATAGTTTATTTAATATTTGAGCTAATGATATAAAATTTTGTAAATATATATAAATTTAAATAATGAACAGTTTTATTTAGTTTTTAAGAATATTTAGTTATAGTTTGTTAAAGAAAATAAAAATTTCTTTAGCAGAATTTTGGTACAAGTGATTGTCAGAAAGAGTTAGTAATTTGTGTCCCTGCATCCTAATCTTAAACATCTTTAAACATAAAAAAGAAATCTCTACTTTTGGTTAAGTATAATAATTTTCATAATAATTTACACAAGTTCAAATATAAACATAATTAACTCTAGATACAAACGTATCGCCAAGTAAAAATCAGGCTTCTAAAAATAGACTTCTTTATACAACGGAATGCGGACTTTTAGCTATTCTGGCTATAATAATAAATTATACGGTTTTTTTGATCATCATTTAAAGTCCGTATTCCGTTGTCTAAAGAATTCTATTTCTAAAAGTTCTGGTTTTCAATTGGTGGCACCCATATGTATATTTTAGTTTTTTTAGTTAAAAGGTGTTTACATTAAATTATATATGCGTATTCACATTAAATGCAGTTTCCATTATATAATAACCTATAGTTAACTAAATTTTTGGTTCAGTATAAATTACACCCCAATTTTTCCTTTATAGTAGACCATAATTTTTAGCATAGACATGATTTGAATTTTGTTTAATCTTATCCTAGATTATAATTTTAATATAACCCATGAAACTTTTTGATATTGTAGAACACGTAGTAAAATAAAACTTATTTATTTAATAATTGATATAGATGAACCACTTTTTATACAAAATTTAATTTGTTACTTTTTATGCCAACTTTTACGGTGTGTATAATAATAGCTTTATATTAATCATGGGTCCATTTTGGCTCGCGTTTTTGTTCAAAGGCAATTCTTCCTTCTTTACTATCATTCTAAGAAAATTAAAGGTGTTTTTATGTGAACAAAAGCTGTTAATGCCCCAAATCTGAACAACGAATAATATATACCAAAGAAAAGAGAGCCTGGAATATTCTTCGTTCGAAACGACACCCTTCTCTCAACGATAACTCATATGCTAATAAATAGAAACCAAAAGATATATATATATATATATTTAAAAAAAAAATGCATTTGATACTGAAAATGAAGTAGCTCGAAACAACTTATTTAATAAATTACAGACCAGCGTTGACAGACTCTTTAGCAGCTTGAATGACAGGTTGAGAAAAACCAGCCAATTCTTGTCCAAGTTCAATAGATTTTTCAAGTACTTCACCTACTGGAAATACTTTACTTACAAGTCCCCATTGTTCAGCTTCTAGAGCTGTAAAAGTTCTACCAGATAATACCATTTCCATTGCTTTAGATTTTCCAACTACTCTTGTTAGTCTCTGTGTACCTCCAGCGCCTATATTTGATTAGAAATACTTCATAAAGCAAGGAAGGAAGAAAGGAATAATTGAATGTATGAATTAAGAAGGATAAGAAATTTCAATTACCAGGAATTAGACCAAGTTTAATCTCAGGTTGACCAAATTTGGCGGTTTCTCCTGCATATATTATATCACAACTCATAGCTAATTCGCATCCACCTCCCAACTGTTCAGAAAAATACATATAATAAAGAAAATGATTATTTGAAAACAAAATTATTCAATCAAAAAGATATCATTGTTAGGAGTAAGAATCAATACCGCAAATCCATTGACAGCAGCAATGACAGGCTTTTTGATATTATTAATCTCCCCCCAATGACCAAGGAAATTTGTTACATAAGATTTAGAAAATGTTTTATCAGCCATTTCTTTGATGTCAGCTCCAGCTTTTTAAAAATAAGTTTAAAAGAAAAAAAATTATCAAAAATTTTGACATTTAATAACTAAAAAAAAAACATTGATATTGATTTCTTTAACCTATCGGGCATAAATTAGGCTCGCAAGACTAGTAATGTTTAATAAAAACTAACCTCTGCCTAAAGATCGGTTCAAAATAATCTCTTTGAATTGTACCCTCCTTTTCACACAGTTTACCCTCTGGGTACAAATTAAGTAAATTAGAGAGTTTTTGATTTATACTCCGGGTACTGAATGTAGTGCTCTACGATATTTAATATATGAACGTTTAATTTATCACATCATAAAGTCAATAACAATATACCGTTTTTTTTTTTTATCACTTTAGGACAATAATGATGGTTCCAAGAGGGTCAATATCAATGTTTTTGCTTTGATAGTAATTATAAAAAAAAAAAACAAACCCGAAAAGACACGTTCATTTCCAGTAATGACAATAGCTCCAATACTTGAATCATCATCGAACTTTTTCAAAGCATCATTAACTTCATGAAATAAATCACTGGATAATGCATTTAAAGCTTTTGGACGATTTAAAGTAATCAATCCAACTTTATCATGACTTTCAGTTAAAATGTTTTCGTAATTAGAAACATCTGACTTAGATTCTTTTTCACTTGCTGTAATTAAACATTTACATATTTTAAAAAAAAAAAATAATTTATTTAAATATAAAAATAAGATCGTAATCGCATACCTTTATTACGTAGGGCACTATAAGTACTAAAACGAAAAACTGGAACATGAGTTCCTCGACGTGATAGAGAGCGTACGAATGAAACAAACATCTTATACAAAGAGAGAATCTAAATAACGATAATTCGGGGGATCCGATAAAAAGTGATCTTCATGCATAAGAAAATTTTTAATGACTGGCTATCGCAATTTTTTAAATTATCAATCAACTGATTAAAAAACGTTACACGATTTTTTTAATTGTTCATAAACTGGTCGTAATTACTTATTACGTAAAAAGTTAAATCACACTATGCGATAACTTAGCATGCTATTAGTTGTAAGTATATTATTAGTAAATTGTCGCATAATGTGATTTGATTTTTTCATAATAAGTAATTACTTTGCCCATCTTTAGTCGATATATCATCTTTTGATACAGGACATAACTAAGTGACATAATAAGTCTGTACTTTTTTCATAAATTTTTGACAAAAAAAAGAAAAATAATCTAAAAAAAAATAATACAAAATTCTAACGACGGATTTATTGATGCAAAGTTATAAAAATACATTTGCATTGTTCAATTTAATTATTTACATTTAGTGCTCCTTTCAACAAATTTTTACACCTTTTTACACTTCAATATTACTTATGATCTATGAAAGGCAACACTGCCTCCAGATTTTATAGATTATGTTAATATGAAGCCACACCGGCACTGTACGGGTTGAAGAACTCGTAAGTTCGAAGCTGTAATTATCTCTTCAATGGTGCCCAGCTTTTTTTTTTTTCTCTTTTATTGTTTTCTTTTTTCTTTGCTTTTCTTCTGTTTTTTTTCTTTTGCTGTTCTGATTCGTTTCTTTATTTCAGTTCCGTTTCTCTATCTCTCGGTTCTGTTTCTCTGTTCACTGCTTTTATTCTGTCACTCTGACTATTTGCTTTGATTCTGTCTCTCTAAATTATAGTTGGCAGTAGAATTAATTTGGCAAATCAATATGACAACAGCGCGTGCCGTATTATTTGCCATAATTCTGTAGTGTCATATGTCGTAATGCCGTAATGGCATAGTATCGAAACTACGAATCAGATTTCATGATGTAAAGCGATCAAACATACACCCATTTTGTCAAAAATCGCTTACTTCGTATTTAATACTCTAATAAAAATGTTTCGTTAGGCAATTTTACTATGTAAATTACTTCCCTCTGATTCCCAACCCTGACTCTAATCCTAACATAAACAGAACGGAACGGACATGAAGAAATTCTGTGCCATCTACAAATCATATTTCAAGAATTAGGTGTAACATGATCAGGAAAGTTCCAAAGAAACATTCGGTTTGTCAAATTGCATATTTCTCAAAAAGCCACATAAGGAACTACTTTTAGCAATCTAACAAAAAGTTTTTCTTGAACGATTTTACTATATAATAATAAGTCTAAGTTTATTCTAAACACTAACCCTACTGTCAATGAACTTAAAAAAAAATTGTTACACGCAATGATCTACTAAACCTGGTACGGACTTTTTGATTGGCTAAGAGCGACGATCCAAAATTTTGGCCGGAACTACTAATGAAATCACAAGTGAAAATTGTTCCTTTGAAAATTTATATTTTTTGGAATGAAAAGGTAATTCCGGCCAAAAATTAGTAAACAATTATGTAATGCGGGCCAAAATTTTGCAGATCCACGGCCGTTAGCCAATCAAATCGAGGATCTGCTGAGACAATTTTGTTGCGGCATCTATGATTAATTAAATAATTTTTACTGCGCCGCAAGACTGGCACACATTCAAGAATTGCTTCGATACTATAGCATTACGGCATAAAATATTTACGGCAATCAGGTACTGTGCCGTAATGAATTCTACCATGGTAATGCCGTAATTCAATAATTCTATCACAAACTATACTCTAAACTATGGATACTATTGGTAAATTATGAGAATACGTATTGCTTAATGTATTATAAAATCTTTCTAATATATTTTTTTCTTAGTTATCTCTTACTCGAAAAAATATGCAAAACACTCATCAAAGTTTTTAAAGGCTTGCCATAATGAAGTTATTGCTTCATCACCTTTATTAAATGATTGGATTGATATTGACAATGCTTGGGTTAGTATTTTTTTTTAAATGAAGTAAAGAAGTTATTGATGCAGATTTGTTCATTGCTTTTGAAAAGTAAGGTGAGTTTTTTTTAATTTTACAGAGAAATAATTCATATTCAAATATAACACCAGGGCACAAAGGATTTTTTGAAATGTGTTTACATTTTCGAATTACTTGCTTAGCAGTCAAACTCAACTCTCTTGAACTATATATAATATATATTTCAGTCGACTCTGAATACAACGAACCTCTATATAATGAACTCTGGATATAACGAATACATGAAATTTGATAAGTAATACCTCTTAAAAATGAGGCATTAAAAAAACCAATATGTCGGTTCATTTCTGATAGCTATAGCTAATCTTTTTGAAGATAAGCTAATAGCTCATTTAGAAAAAAAACACAGGTCCAAATGGTCAATGACCTGTGGATTTTGCTTTAATTTTTTTCCAATCATCTAAAGTAATTGAGATAGTAGAAGTTAAAGCAAATGATTTTTTATAAGGCATTGCACAAAATTTTGTAGAATGCGAATAGTTTTGATAGAAAGTAAAAAATATATATCATTAGAATTATGACTAATTTCAAAAAATGGTATTTTTTAAAATGCTCATGGAACAACAATGGAAAAATAGAATTTAAACTATCAAAACTATTACGAAATGAATATGCAAACTTGAATTATATTTAACCAATTACACTGACCGTCACTGTAGAGAGAGGTATTTTTAAAAAATAAAAGTTTTTAATCAGTTAAACATTAAATCAGACAGATTTTATATTCAAATTTATGGAAACTTCCCACTTGTGAGAAGAAATAGTATGAAGTTATAAAATTTATTTTTTAAAAAGTTATTATTTATTTCAATATTTTCTATTTCTATATATTGTTGATAATAAAAAATGCTTTATATTACTTCTTTTCAACTCCTAATTCATTTTCGTGTTTAACTTATTAAATATTATTTTAGAATACTTGGCAATGATATCATTCGTTCTTATTTTTTTCAGATTCATCTAATGATGTAATTACGAGTTATGAAAATATAAATATTTTACGAGCAAGGTCCTATCCTTATTATATCATCAAACAATGTATAGATTAACCAATATGGTTGACCTTGCATACAATGCACCAAATCAACGCACAAACAAAAATTTGCGTTGCATATTTCACTTTAATAAATTGACTTTCAACGAATTTAACATATCACTTAATTTTCGTGCAGATTACCAAAACGATCCGAATGCTCAACTTAAGCCGATTGGCTCGGCTTGAATTTTAATAAAGATTGGATCTTTATATAATGGTTCACATAAAAATTTTCTTTTATTACTTTAAATGAATGATACTTAGCCGAAGCATTAGAATATGATATTGGTACGAAATTCCGCAGAATAACTGAGTTATTTGCTGTATGCTATTTGATTGGTCGATTTTGCACACCTTCAGTGCGCAAAATTCGACCAGTTCAAATCATATGGCAATCAACGGTAAGGTACAATAGTTTCCTAATGCTAGTAAAGCGTGATAGCACTTTACTAGTATTTGAAACATTATAGTACCGTAGTTATGAATACTTCGTGCTTGAATAACTTGTTTATCTGGCATTTATATTTATTGGATTCTGCATTCCAACTGTTGACTGGCGTTTGAAATTTTAAATTTTTATGTACGTGAGTTACACACGTCGTTCAGATAACGTGAGTAATTCACGTGTATAAAAATTATAATGGATAATAGCGATAGTTCTGTAGTTGGTATATTGATATATGAAGCAAAACATGAATAAAGAAAGTTAAATTCTATTGGCTGATCAATCAATCAAGGCCTATATCAAAATTCCGACATTCCCAAAATCTCGAAAATCATAATCCTGACGTGACAATTAATATTTAAAGATTAGTAATCACATTAACAATTATTGTCTGTGATCGACCCAAGGTTTCCCAAATACAGGAGTGATGACGTTTACATAACACAAAAACCAAGTAAAACATTGTTAGCTAGGACGGTTGTGATACGTAGACCAATTACGTCACTTATTAGAACAACGAAATTCAAGTCGATCGAATGAACGTGTACAGAGAATTTCGATTGATCGTGGACTTCCTTCTTATCTGGAAGACAGTGAAAGAAATGAAAATATGAGTAAATGGCACTCATATGTCGAAAATTATTACCATTCCGGACGACGACGACGATGAAACACTGTGCTATACGTATCAATCGAGTCCCTCATTCATTTTTATACTGACGTATGTGCGTTGTCTCCAACTTCCTCATTATATATAGAACTATCTGATTTGGAAGAAATAGATACCATGTGGGAACCACAAAAACATAAAGATCTTCAATCTGATGTTAAAGCAAGTTTAAATATTGCTTATGTTTCAGAAAACTTTTGTTCACCTGTTATTAAAAATGTAATTGGAATTGGTTCTTCGGACGAATCCGGGTTCGAAATAGACTTAATTGTCGCATCTCATGATGTCAGTATTATGGGCCTGTCGAGATTTTGGTATAGAATCACGTTACCAGGTTTGTAAAAACTACTAACAATTTTTTTTAATGTTAATAAATTTATGTTGTGTTACATCTTTATAGTAACAGAATTCTTAAGTTGATGGAAAATAAACGAATCCGAATGAATTTCAAACATTAATATAAAAGGTACATTTTATAAAATGTAAAAATATAATTTTCTAAAATTTTAAATTGTTTTAACAAAAATTTATTTTTAGTCAAGAAGTTATATTTCTAAATAAATTTAAAACTTTGTGTAGTTGCGTACAATGAAATAAACAACCAATTAAGACAAACTTGACTTATGTAGTTACATTAATGACCTTTAGGTCACAGGCACACGGGCTAACAGTATACGTACGTACTAGACATGTTAACTAAATTCAGTCGCTCAGAAAGTTATACGTACGTACGCATAACGATAAATGGGAAAAATCTTGGCTTGTGAAAGTAATACAAATATAATAAAAGGAAATAAAATTCTATAAATAATGATAATGGAACAATCTAATCCTATCGCTGTACGTAGTCTCTAACCATAACTAACATATATATAGAAACATGTTTATAAAACTAGTAATATTGAATCCTTAAATGGCTAATGATGGCTAATTCTTGGGAACTACGTACGAACGTACATAAGTACATTTCTTGTTCCATTTATTGGTTCAATTTAACTAGTAATCTGATTAAAGTTTCAACCTTATATAGAGATAGTGTAAAAAATTTCAGACCAATCATTTCACTTGTATTATCAGTTATAGATTTAATTATTGGTTAAACGTTTTGCACTATGTAATAAAATTAGATTTGCTATTAGACCCTGAATTCAAACGGTACATAATTGCATTGTTCAATTTTAAGCAATCTATAGCGATGGTGATAGATCTTTGGTTTTAACAAAATCATAATGAATAATCACAATGAATCCTTATTGGATTGTACACCTTTTAATCTTGCATGATCACTTTTTTTTTTAGAAACAGATGAATGATTCTACATTACAATACATAAAGTTCAAAATCTCGTTTAAAGAATTTAAATATAATTGGTTTTATTTTATATCAGACCGAATATTAGGATAATTATTTAAGAGGTATCGGTATATAAAAAACATTACAATTAGGCCACTTGGTGGTACGATATACACAGAAAACAACGATTTTTATTTATCCATGGAACTCATTTTTTTACCTGGATGATGATTATTTTTTATTTGCTGACGTACATACATACTTAACTTTTACGTTGTCCCATACACGGTGTTTGACAGGATAAAGTTGGGAGATTTAGGACATGTTTTAAGAAAAAATGTTAAAATTTATTAATAATTTTTTATTTTTTTTAGTTCTTACAAACATTTTACAAACATTTTATGTATATTATTACTATTACTATTTGATCTGGTTTTTCAAAAAATTGAGAAATTGATGGGACGGAGAAGTCAAAATGTAGAACACTGTATATAATGTACGTATGTATACACATACATATTTCGAATGAAGACACATGTACGCATGTATGTACGTAATTGGCTTTACTCTCAAATGGACGATTTGGATCAGTTATCAGTTATCAGTTATGGCATATTCCCTTACGTACGTACATTACGTATAATGTTCTAGAAAAACAGTGTATTCGTTCAGATTAATTTTTTGTAAGACAGTATAAGAATAATGTTTCAAAGACAATTGTAGCTATGTTCAGATATGCACATAATTAAAATTAAATTAATTATAATTTGTTTTTTTTTAGACTAACTAATAATGATTCAAAATTTTATACTTTTTTAATGTAAATGAAAGTTTGATGACTCAAATTTAAAAATTGCACGGAACAATGACGGAATGAATACGTCTAACTCCGACTATGATTTAGTGTCGTAATTCATACTAATTCATACATACGGAAATTGTTTACCGTTACTCTCTATTCATTCCATTCCATTTTATTCCATAATTATGCTATTGTATCATTTTTTTTAAAACCTGGTAAACCAATTAAAATCTAATGCACAAAACCACAAGAGATATTAATTAACTCTTGCTTGAGGTGACAACATCTCAATAGACATGATCAATTTAACCAATAGTAAATTAAATTCCAATGTACAACATCACAAGAAAGGTTAATTAACTCTTGCTTGAAGTAATAAACTCTCAAAAAAGGATACAAACCGGCAGAGTTAAAAAAAATATATCAAGCATAATAAATAGAAAAAACTCTTTAATATTAGCAGGCACATGAACATAGCTTTGGGCTTGTGACCTTTATCATATACATATGTATCTATGTATGTATCTATTCGCTTTTCAAATCGGTTTCATCCCTTAATTTAAATTATTAATCAAATATTTGAATTCGATTATAATGCTTTCCTTTCTTGGAGACTACGTAAGGCTGTGTTAAAGTGTCCAATATCGTTATATAATACCATTCAAATTTATTAAACTTACACAATGTTAACCAAAACAGAGTAAACATTTTGTGAGATCCTTGACGCAATGTTATCAAACATACAAACACATCAGAAAATCAAATGACCTCATTTATTATTCAAATTATGCAAAATAAATCGTACATGATTGTTAAGAATCGATTTTTCGAATAAACAAAAAAATTTATAATTCAAATGATTTAAAAGTTCGATGTCTTTTTCTTCATATCTAGTTAGGCAAACATATAAACCATTTAAATGATCTTCAGCGTACGAACCATTTGAATTCCTAGAGTGATCTAATTCCAAAGAATGCTTGTAATTTTGACTATATGCACTAATGTAAAGAGTGCGTAAAGAAATGAGTTCCGACAGTAGTAGCTTAAATAATTGCAAATAAATAAATATTAATAATATTAATAAAATAATTGAGTTTAATGTCATTGTTAAAAATATTGTGAATTAATGATGAATTAATGATATCGATAATGTTGTACTTAATTTATTATGCCACAATCCATTGTTTTAGTCAATTTATTTTGTTTATTGGTTTCTTAATAGTTCACAAAAAATTTCTATTTCTAAAATTTTAATGAATTTATTACAACACTCCTTTCAGCCTTTAAATTCGTAATATTCTAAAATACCAATCACCAAGCTGTTTTACTATCGTAAACGAACTGAAACCACTGAAACCAATTAATTGCAATGAACAGTTCTGTAACATCGATAGTATTTATACGCACGCAGATAGTAATTTAATGATGCAATAATTCAATATAAAATACATTTTTATCATAAATTTTCTTTTATATAAAGCTCCTTAAAAATTGCTAATTCCATCTTCTCAGATTTTACGATTCCATTTTCTCTAATCTTTAAAAAAAATTATTTAACAATGGACGTGAATCAAGGTATCGAATTAGACAATACTACCGTAAACGCTAATCATCTTATCGAAGGCTTGACCTCATTTTCTGAGCCAAGTGATACCATCCAAATAAATTCTGATGTCCCTCCTGGACACACTACACTCTCTACTTCAATTCTCTTGGGATCCTCCTTTCCCTAAGAATCCTAATCTAAGAATCCTACTTATCAGCAAGTCTTTTGTTGAATCTCGTCATGATCATTCTTTTCTCTTATAAGGCATTAATCCTCTTTTAATCAAAAAAAAACCCAAAAAAACTTCGACCAAAGATGACACATGTTTCTTCATTGGTGTCTACATTTTGGCGTAGTGATCTCTTATATGATATTATTAACCTTCTTTTAATTTTCTTTAATAAGCAATATATCTTTAATGAGTAATATATAGTGATTATGTTTATCGATATAGATCAAGATCTGCCTATATAAACATTTAGGCACATGCCCAAAAAACAATTACTATTATACGTTTAATTATCATTTAATTTAATTCCAACTATTTTTAGTGTATTAATATATTATTTTTAATTTGAAACGGGCGGGTATTCCTGATTCTATAAAAGGTGTCCGGATTCTAAATTTGTTTACTATTATTAAAGTGTACCCTGATCGACCAATAAAATCAGATGTTAGTGATACATGAACACGAGAATCGGATGTGAGGTTGTTTTATATGCATCTTTCTCTTATGTTATTGGCTCAAGTATTTAAAGTTTAACTACAAAAAATAAAAAAACATGTACCACTTAACATTTACTTAAATTAATTCATTAGTAAATAATTCGTCTCTTACATATGTAACATTTCCTTTTGTTCTTCTTACATAAATGATGTTTGATGTTAAATGAGATTATAAATAATGTTTCATCATACAAACAAATCCCTGAATAAATTAAACTTTTAGAAATTTGTTACCTATGCAACCTCTAATGTTACTACATTTTAACACAATCAGTTTTGGCGATTCATAATTTATGGTCTTGCGAATATCCACCAATGATTTAACTAAACCATTGCACAATGTCTGGTGAAATAAACTGATATTTTAATATATGTTATATAAATTTACATTTAAGGTGTTCAATAAGTTTTACGTAACAAAATTTAAAATAATGGCTCATTGTTATGTGTGTACCTTAACCAATAAGTGCAAATTCACAATGAAAATCTGTAACTGAAAATTTCCTCGCAAATGTCGACTTGCTATTTTTTTACAAATTTATGCTTATTAAGATATGAAATATGCCTCCATACGAATAATTCAAATAAATTGTAATATACTAGAGATGAAAAATGTTTTTTATTACGTAATTAAAAATAAGTTATGATTATGTTCTTAATATATTTAAAACCATTCGAACTTTTAATTATTACCTGGTTTAAATCGGTGAAAAAGTGTTTAAACCTGTTTTTTTTATTCTTATATAATATAGCAATTCATTTGAAATATGTCTTCACACTGCTAATTCAAATAAATTGTACGTACGTACATTATATTTAAATTTAATCTGCCATCATTTATTCAAGGAAAACCATCTAAATAGAAAAATAGATAAAAGTTAAAAGATTTTTTTAATGGTTCTTTAAAATAAAAAACTAACTTCAGTAATAAAATCATATGCCATGATATTATATTATATTTTAGATTAAATCTAT